TAGACACTGATGTCATTGCCACTGCTAAAGTATTACAATTTGTCTGGTGTTCATTGTGCAGTGCAACAGCCGAATACAAACTAAATCATACATAAGTGGAGCTGCAGAGGACTTTGCTGCCCTCTGCTGGACCAAAGAAGACAATAACTCAGAGATGAAAGAGTTGTTCAAATGTAGGAAAGGACACGAGTGAAAGGAAATCTCTTCTGATACAAACAATCTTTTTTTGTTTTAGCTGTTATATTGTTTTACATAGCTTTTTAATAAAAAAAAGGTATGTCAAAAAAGTGCAATAATCAATCTTTTACAGATCAACCTGGATATCAGAAACAAAAGCGCTCAAACAACAGGTACACATGTGGAGTAAGAGTCACTCTCCTACTTTTCTCTGTTAATACAAAACTGACTGAAGGTCTGCTGTTAACTTCCTGTTCTCCAACAGCAGCTTATATCCATAGAAATACAGTCTGATATGTGGCACGGGAGTGAACCGGTGCTGTTTGCAAATCCATAAACCGACCTGATTTCTGCAATCCCGAGCAAATTTTCCTCCATTTTCCCACAGTCATGCACAGGCCCCATGCTCACTCTTGCCGGCTGCATACTCGGACTCAATATCAAACGCCACTTTGGCGCTTCATCATTCAAACAGCAAACCTTTATTATTCTGGGGTAATGTAGCTTCTTCTTTGCACTCATCACTAATCACGGGATTGCAGGGAAATAGGTAAAGTGGCAAACAAGATTAGAAACTGGAGATTAGATCAGGAATTGACCTTAAGCGTAGCTGGACATGTTGTCAATAACTAAGGTGGGGTGACATCTAACCAATAAATAGTAAGCCAAAGACTAAACATTCAACCTCTTGATTCATTCACCCGAAGCATTTTGCAGTTTACTCTATGTGCATTGTGTTTCCCTACCACAAGATGGCCATATAAGAATCTTACCAGATTTAACTGTAACGTGCCAAACAACACACACTAGATAAATGATCATCCCAAGAACACCGCCGATCTCTCTCCTTCACTATCTAAACACCATCTTTAGCATATAGAGGTGGGATACAATCAACTTAATCAAAAATCTCAACCTTCTCGTCTCCTTCACGCCAAGACGCAACATTCAATCACTCTCGCCTGGACAGGGAGTCGTCAGATGGACGACGGAGCTGAATCTCATTAAAAGATGAATAAACGTGTAAAGTTGGACCAACGCGCCTCTGCAATCTGCTCTGCTTCTCCTCAGTCTCTCTGCTTCTCTTCTTCTTCAAACGCCGGCAGGGCAGAGGCGAGTAGCAGGCAAGAGGGAAGTGCAAAATATTGCAGAGCAGTAACTGGGTGCGGTAAAAAAAAAAAAGGTCTGGATTTAGATTCCTCACTGCAAAATGAGATTTATTTTTTTAAAACGACACCTTTACTGATTTTCTACTTTCAGCTTTTTACATGAAGTCAAAACTATAAGCAGAACTTTGTTTAAACAGTATTTAACGGTCAGTTTTAAATATGAATGAAAAAAGAAGCCTCGGGGTTGATTTTGAAGGCCTGTGTTTTCTTTTTTTCTTTCACAGATACCGATTAAATTCAAATGTGAGACTAAAATAAGGGTCACGAGAAGTCTTCATATATGATACATAATATTTGAAATTTTCTTTAGTTAAAAACCAAGTCTACATAACTGCATAGATGTAATTAAATGTCATGTTCTTGTGGCAGCACAACAAGCTAAAATCACAACATTGAAATAATATTCTCTTATAAAGTTGATGTATTTATGGGCGTTTCCTTTTCAGTCGTATTTCTTGCCACTTGATGAATTGAAGTTCAACATTCACACTCCTTTTAGCTCTGTTTTGGTGTCCACCAACTCTGTCTCTTCAGTTGCTAAATGCCCCACTGTGCTCACCAGCTAACTGCTACCTTTGGAGTTTGGTGCTGAGCAATGAAAGTAGCTTAATATCGGTTGATGCGAGCAGTGAGAGCGAACCAAAGCCCTGAAGTTGTGTCTTTCTCATTTTCCTGCAGGTCCCTTACGGGTCGATATACATATCATATGACAGGCATGACTTGGCCTTCCTCATTACTGGAGCGCAGTATCCTAATAGCACACTTTAGTGGGCAGAAACATACCGACACTGGCACGAATGTCAACGCAGATGGTTGGCTCAGGCCCCCTGAATCATAACTGCCATAACACTGTCTGAGATGTCTTTAAAGGTGCCAAATCACCATTATGAGCTGCCTTCTCTTCTCCGCTCAATTGTGCATCATGAAGTATGTTGAACAGCTTGACAATTAGCCGTAAATGGGTCGACACTGCAAAGCCGCACTACCCATTCTAGCATTCATCATTAACGTGACGGATCACATCTCTGTGCCTCTAGATTAGGCTGCTGCCAGCACGGTTAACTCCCTCGTGGCGGTTATGAAGGGTAAAATGTCCCTCCCTGGCCCCTGTACCTCGTTTTGTGGTTAGATATAAGCGAGAAGTCAGCCCGTCATAAGATCTGACGCGAGTGTTTAACAGGCGGTTCCCTGAATGTTCAACAACAGAGACTTATGACAGGTAATCCCACAAGTTTAACATTTGACAAAAAAGGCTATTACGTGCGGGCGTGGCAGTAAATGCTGCCGAGATGACACTTGCCCCCATTAATCTTCATCTTGTTATTCACGCCTGAGGGTTCCATTATTCTGCGGTGTTTGAATAATGGGATGACAAAAGGATCGATGTGATTCATGTGACAGAGGTGCAACAGGAAAGTGACCCCGTGTTTACAAGACGCTGAAACGAAGGAATCTGCAGTTGTTTTTTTCGTTGTTGCTATAGCAAAGTTCCATACTGTAGCAATTTAAGGATGGAACATTGTAAGTGATGGTTATTTTACTTCCAGGTCAACTATTGCTGCGTTCCAATCTGACAGTATAGTTCCCTGTGATGTGGACCGCAAAGAGTATTCAGCCGAGTTAAGTACGATTTTAAACTGTAGGGAGCAAACGTGCTCAGTTCAAAGGGGACTGACAACTGAACGACGACTCTTCACTTCACCACAGGTTGACAATCAAGAATACCCATCAGTCACTGTGCAGCGCTGGAGTGCTAGTATAGGGCTGTGCTAGCCAAACCAATATTAAAGTTACTACTGCTCTGTGTAACTTCAATTTTATTGATATCCAACTACTAATTCGAGGTCCTGGGAGGAGACCGCCGAAGTTATTTTCAACATATATTAACTATTTGATTTCAGTCGTGTGAAATGTCCACAGCCACAGGTATTCGAGGTATCTACGTTACCAGGGTAATGCCCAAAGGAAGGGATGTCTATATTGGTGGCGTTCTGAATGGAGGTTTACTTGTTCCTGTTATAAGGGACAATGTAACTAATACCTAAATACCTTTGGTCCAACTCTTATTTATGGTACAACCAGCTGCTATTTGTTGGTGTTTCAATCTTCCCAAGTATGTAATTATGTATAAAAACTATGTTATAACTTTTTAGTTTCTTTTGTGAGTCACTTTGCCGTTCTGCTCTTGAAAGGAGTTATATAAATAAAGTTACATAATTAAATATCAGGGAAATGCAATTAGATGTAAACTCAAGCAATCCGTGCTTCCAAGGTATCCATGAGAACACCTCTAAGCCTCTCACACCTTCACCCGCTCTTCTTTCCCTCCGCACGACCGGCACACATTCATGTCAATGTCATCTGGCCTCAATTTCCTGTGACTGACACAGGGTGGTCCGGACAGTCAGACAGCCCCTCTCTGCAGCAGGCAGGCAAGGCAGGAATTCACGAAGCCCCCCCCCCCCTCCTTGGATCGGCTCACTTCCAGCTCTGTACTTTGTGACCCACTTATTTGACAGCAGCTCTGTTCAAACTTTCAGAAGCGACGAGTGCTCCAGTGGAATGAATGAGTGGTTGATTTCATTCAGATTTTTCATACCGTTTCCTTCCTACCTTGCACGTAGCCATTTGCTTTTAATTCATTCCACTACGGCAAAAGAATTAACTTACAGAATCTTGACAAGCTTTTCGGCAAAGGTCGCCGCCTGATCAAAACGCACACGGACCATGGATGTATTATTGACGAGCCCTCGGGGCAGCTCTATTTCTTCTGGATGCTACAGTGACTCACTATTGCCTCTAAAGGACCAATAGGTATTACAAGACAGGACGGGCCTTTTGATCATGCTAGTTAACTTTTCATCGTTTTAAAAAATAAGAACATCTTCCCAGATCTTATATTTTGCCAACTTTTATCCACAAAAAGAAAATTAGCACATTTGTTTTTCACTAGACAGCAAGAATCATGAGATAAAAAATTTTAACTCATTAAAGGGAGGTGAAATGTTCACTGTGATGGACCGCCTATTCTGAGCAAGCAAGTTTCAAGTCTGTGCAAATGTATTCCCTAATGTGGAGAAGGTCTGTTAAGAAGGCTAGAATTGAGAAACAAAGAATAACTTCTCAGTGGGAATGAATCCCCGTAGGGGCGTCATGGTAGACTTATAATAATAATTTAAACATGCACCATTTAAATGTAATGTCCCTGGCTCAATTCTAGCCGGTGACCTTTTGCTGCATGTCATACCCATTTCTCTCTCCCCGTGTTTCCTGTCTGTTGCTACCCGGTCATTATCCAATAGCGGCAAAACATGGCAAAAAAATGTCCACTTCTGACACTTCGGCCTTGCTGCATGCACCTGCAACATTGACAAAAGCACCGGGCAAATGACTATAAAATGTGTATTTTAACAACAATCCAACAAACACCTGTCTTGACAAACATCAGCCATCAATAACAATCCTTAACTTGTCAAAAACACTCGCAGTAGACAGTTTCCATATCTCCTAGATGTATTGTGTAGCCCCACAGTGGTCTGGGTCTTACATCTAATCTATAAACTCAGATCTCGGACAGACCGAGACAACGGGGGGAAGGAGGAGCGAGTCAGAGGGCCGAGGTGATATGTGACAGCGTGACGTAATGTTTCTCACCTCAGCACCATGGGACAGACTCCTTTCCCTGAAGGCCGGTGAGGGCTCGACTGATCGTAGAGGAGTCAGAACTCCGTTCTTCAACTGCTCCCCTGAGGGCGACTTTGGTACAGTCCACACAGGAACACCATCTGAAAACAGACAAGGTTAGTTAACAACAGTGAGGAGGAGATACATGGGGTTTACTTTCATCTAAGTTGTACTGTTGATTTGTGTGTATTAATGCTTGAATTGGGGTTGGATGAAATTTATAACAACAATGAAAGAGGGACTTTGAGAGACAAATCATATCACACTCTGCATCTTCATTTCTGACTTTCAATATTAAGGTTTTTATGAACGATGCTGGACTGAGGGTGTGTTAGTGATGGTTGTTACTGATTGAGACCATCGGGAAATTGTTTGTGGGCGCTCGTGTGTGTCTGTTAAAATGTAATATTTGTTCATTGTCCCTTTTCTGTTGTGTCGACTCAACTAAGGTCAGACATACAGAAATGATGATTCACTTTGACTCTGAGCAACAAGCAATGAAATGTTCTGCAGAAATATCATAAATCTCAATCCTGTACCGTCTGTCTCATGCTGTAACTGAGCCTAGAAACAACTTCATGCCAGTTGTTGTATAGTCATTTAAAAATCAATACATAGTCCGAGCACTGAACCTCTACCGTCTTCACCTACAGTAGCTGGACTGTCAGAGGTGATGATTCAAAGTTCGAAGATTCTGAACTTCCAATTATGTGCAATATTGTGATAAGATATTTTTTAGCATCATTCAGCCGCACATCTAGCACTTGCTTATTTTAAAGTAGCCCCAGTTAGAATTACAGGTCAGTAAGTTACAAAATGACGTAATGTGGTAAGGTGAGACATCTGTATTACTTAAGGTGCAGTGTGCAAGATCTGGCCACATGCTCCAAACTAACAAGGTGCAGCATTTCACCTTCACTACTGAGTCCATACAATCTATATTTACAGTCATCCATTAAAGCTATGTTATAATCTTCACATGTGGCGTTGGCCTAGTTCATGCCGGTCGTCTTTACTCTGACACTAACCGGAGGCTGTATGTGTCTATGTTTTGGTAGTTATGTTTTATTGGATTAAATCCAAATTGGCAGAAACAAGAAAACGATTCATATTTTTGTTTCGTTCTTTCCGCCACATGACGACTCCTTCGCCAGGAGGAGAGCGTTCAGCTGCTCCGGGAGACGGACCTTCAGTCAGCGGAGCTGTAGCAACTTCAAATTCAGCTGTTGCAAACCCGAGCGCTGGGGGTCTGATCCAGGGACACCGCTGCAACTACCCGCCGGATCAGCAAACGTTCTGTTCCTGCCGTTACACAGGTTAGACCAAGCGCTGCTGTCGGCCAACAGACCGCTGGCCATAGCCAGCTGCGACTCCTGGCGCTGGGGTATGCGCTGGCTGATTGAGAGATGCTAGAGCTAACCCGCCATCTAAAGGTCTGTCTTCCAGCACCGCCACCTGCTCTCCTCGTGGCGAGAACGCCCAAACTAATTTCACTAGATATCTCTGCAACACAATACATGGATGTTAACAAATGTTGGTTCGTTTTTGAATGTCTTAAACTAAAATCCTGGCCAGATCTTAAACATTGCACCTTTAAGTAGGAACCAATGGTTACAATACTGACTAAAAGGCTCCTTACTGGATATCAGCTGAACAACACTACAGCCTCACAAACAGACATCAGATTCAGTCAACTACTCTGACAGCCTTCTAGCATTGTGCTTCACCAAAACTGTATCTGATGCAGAGCTACTGCGCCGATCATTCATTTGCGTCTCCTGTGTGAACAGACTAATGTGATTTGCAAAAGTCACTCTCAAAACCCAAGCTGCAAGTTTCCTCATTCAAAAGTTTCTGATATATATATATATATAAAGATAGTAGATCACATTTCAAAGTACTGTT